CTTTATACACACCCCTCCGCTTGCCCACATCACATCATCTCCTCCTCCTCCTCCTCCTCCTCCTCCTCCTCCTCCTCCTTTCCCCCATCTGCTTTCACGCCTTCAGGCTGCGGACTCGTCTGTTCGCTTCAGCTCTGGAGCCCAGACAGGCCCTTCCCTTGGCGGCGCCAGGAGGAGGGCAAGGAACAGTTTCTACGTCGCAGCACTGCAGGCGCTAATAGCTGTCTGGCGGCAAGAGGGGGGGAGGAACTGTGAAAGCGGCCGCGGAGGCGGGAAGAGGGGAGGGAGGGCCCACACAAGGCGAGGTGCATCGCTTTGGAGCAGCCAGCGCGGCCAGCCAGTGCTGTGTCACCCTGGCAGTGGGCGCGGGGCGGCATCACGGCCACACCAAGGGGCTGACGCAGAGGTTGCAGTGCGCGGAGTGTTCGAGGCAACAGCACCGGAGGAGGGCGCGTAGGGCCATGTCGAGAAAGACGCCCCTGTCCAGCGCGATGACGACCATGTAGGTAGCTGCATATGGCGGCGGCGGACTGCCAGAGAGAAAGGGATCCTAAAGTTAAACGAGGTCCTCCTCCTCCTCCTCCTCCTCCTCCTCCTAGCCCCTCCTTCTGCTCCTTCTCATTATCCGCCTCCTCCTACTCCTCCTCCATGTAATTATCCTCCTCCTCCTCGTCCTCCTCCTCCTCGTCCTCCTCCTCCTCAAGTATAACTCGTCCCCCCCTCTCGGCGCGCGGCGCGCGTCACGCGTGGCACGTGTGTGGTGTGTGTGTGTGTGTCAGAATGCAGGCAGCATGGCAGGTTGTATAGCATACCAAGAACACAAACAGGTAGCATCATAGCGTTTGAAGAGGTGTCCAACGAGAGGCCCATATTGAAAGAGATTCGCCGTCCATCCATTCAGGGTCCATCTCGATCTGACCGCCGGTTCGACATCGATTCCGGCCAGCCCTATGCGATCCGATTCTAGTGTTCGACGATCTTTTACGGCCCGTTGTTCGCGTGACCATGCCTCGCATCCCGGCGCAGCAGAGCCGATCCGATGTCGATTCGGTGCTGATGCAGTCCGATCCGACGCACATCCCGCTTCGAGCCGATCCCCCATTTCGATGTTAGTCGGTCTTGCCTCTGAAGGGCTGCACGCGCTGACAATCAGAGAAGGAAAAGGCACCCATACCTTTACCCTACCCTGGTTTTCTCCTTTTTTGGGGTCGCCACCGCTGGATTCGCCTCGAAATCCAGGTCAGAACGCACCCGGGAAGAGGTCAGGGGAGCAGCGGTGTCGATACCTCTTGATATCCGCAGAGGTGGAAGGAGAGAACTCAGGCCAGAGTCTTGTTTTTTCCTTTGTTTTTTTTAAAAAAAGGAGCCGCCCTCCACCCGCACAGGTTCTGCACCGCATGGAGTTAGGTCGGGCATGTCCCCCTACAGGCAGAAATTGGACGAAAAATGCCAGATGTTCAAACATACCCCAAAGCAGTCAACAAAAATCATCGAACAATGCCCCCGAGACTATGGTTTGACTATCTTGGACTATTCCCCCTGTAGAGGGACAGGCCCGACTCGAGCATGGAGCTCACGTGCTGCTGCAGTGATTGAGCGAGGCCTCGGGCGAGGGCCCCGCCGCCGCCGCCGAGGGAGAGCCGGCCTCCGTGCGCGCGGCTGCCAGAGGCGCTGAAGACGAGCGCTCGCAGCGCCAGGGCGAGAGCCACAATTTGGGAGCCACCTCCTCCTCCTCCTCCTCCTCCTCCTTCTCCTTCTCCTCCTCCTCGTTCACAATCTCCTTCTCCTCATCCTCCTCCTCCTCCTCCTCCTCCTCCTCCTCTTCCTCCTCCTCCTCATTATCCTCCGTCGCCTCCTCCCTCCCGCTCCTCCCTTCTCCTCCTCCTCCTCCTCCGTCGCCTCCTCCTTCCTCCTCCCTTTCCTCCTCCTCCTCCTCGTCCTCCTCGTTCACAACCTCCTCCTCCTCTTCCTCCTACTCCTCCTCCGCCTCCTCCTCCG